GACGGCTCGGGTGGCTCCGGATCCGGCGGGTATGGCGGGTCGGGAGGTGCAGGAGGAGGAAGTGGAGGGGGTGGATTTGGCGGTGGAGGAGGAAGTGGCGGATTTGGCGGTGGAGGAGGAGGTGGCGGATTTGGCGGAGGAGGTGGAGGCGCAGGAAGCGGTGGAGGAGGAGGAGGAGGAGGAGGAGGACAATACGATGGTTCAGGATTCGCTCCGGCGCAGTACTCCTTCAAGTGGGACGTGAACGATGCGGCTTCTGGTAACTTCTACGGCCACGAGGAGCAGAGGGACGGCGTCAACACTCAGGGAAGGTGAGCCAGGAAGCCAGGCGAAACACATGAGTAACGTCCAGTCACTCTTGTGAACATACAAAGTTGATAAATAAATAAATGCTAGTTGATATCATTGGGAAACAATTCAAAATAAAAACTATTTTTTAAAGCGTCAGTAAATGACCAGTAGCCTTATAATTTCTCGCGAGCTCTGACTGATTTGTTTATCCCGCCTGAACCCAGCTACTACGTGCAGCTCCCCGACGGCCGCCTCATGAGGGTCGAGTACTACGTGGACGACTGGGGCTTCCACCCCACCATCACGTTCGAGGGCGAGGCGCAGTTCCCGACTGGCCCGGGCGGCCCAGGAAGGCCAGGAGGACCAGGAGGACCAGGAGGACCAGGAGGACCAGGAGGGCCAGGAGGCCCAGGTGGTCCAGGTGGTCCAGGTGGTCCAGGCGGTCCAGGTGGGCCAGGTGGGCCAGTTGGGCCCGGAGGTCGTCCCGGAGGCGGAGGAGGTCGCCCAGGAGGAGGAGGAGGAGGTGGCCGCCCCGGCGGAGGCCAAGGACCAACCACGCCCACGCAGCTCTACGGCACGCCCACCAAGTGAGGCGCCGGGAGGGCAGGCTCGGCCGATGGCCCTTTCCACTCCGGAGCCTCGTGGCTCTCTCTCCTGTGATGTCTCTAGTGCTTGGCGTTTCCCATTTCTATGTTATGTTTGTTGGTGTTGTTGTTGTCAAAGGCTTCCGTTTTTATACTTTTGATAGGTCAGATTTAGAGCCATACCTTTGTGTGCAGAGTTGTGAGGATATGAAAATAAAGTTGTTAATTAAATCTGCCTTATATTTGAAGTACAATATCAATGCTTTATTTAGTAACTCCCCATCAATCCACATCTGTCATGTGTTTGTCTGTCTGTCTGTCTGCCCGTCTGTCTGTCTCTATATTTACCTATTTATCTGGCTTTCTATCTATCATTTTCTCTTCCACTCTCTCTCTCCCTCTCCCCTCTCTCTTTCTCTTTCTATCTATCTATCTATTTATCTGTTTTTCTGTCTATCATTTTCTCTGCCATTCTCTCTCTCCCCCCCCCTCTCTCTTTCTCTCACTCTCTCTCTATCTATCTATCTATATTTATATACTAATCTGGCTTTCTATTTATCATTTTCTCTGCCACTCTCTCTCTCCCTCCCCCCACTCTCTTTCTCTCATATTCTCTCTCTCTCTCTCTCTCTCTCTCTCTCTCTCTCTCTCTCTCTATATATATATATATATATATATATATATATATATATATATATATATATATTTATATATATATATACATACATGTATGTATATATATATATATATATATATATATATATATATATATATATATACCGACATCATCATCATCATCATAGGGAATGATCATTGGGCTGATAAGCCGTGGCATCCCATCATTTGTTCAGTATAACTAAACTTCCGCCTGATATATTCTGTATCTGTCGTGAACTCCCAGTTGTACTAAACGCCTTCTGCAGAAAGCACTGCTCTGCTGCCAGCTGTTTCCCAGTTACCCTGGCACGGGAAGCTCATAGGGCACTATCCTTGAACTCCAGGCTGCAGTTTAATGTCCTGCCCAAGATATTATATTCATCCATATGCGTGCCATCACCGATGCTGTGTTTGACGAACTACTTGGCATCATGTAGTTGACTGGGTCTTTATACGAGGTCTTTATACGACCAATGATCCTTCCCAAGGGGAGTAGTTGTTTAGGTAATCATTGTTAGTGGTTCTGAACTCACCATCATATCTACAAAATGCTCAGCCACTACCCTGTCTAAGTTTGACTTACCCAATATATGCAAATCAGTACGTGTGATATATATGTATATATATATGTATATATATATATACATATACATATATATGTGTATATATAAACATACATATATATATGTATATATATATTATATATATATATATATATATATATATATATATATATATATATATATATATATATATATATATATGTATATATATGTATATATATATACATATATATAACTAAATTAGGTAATATAATTAGCTTAAAAAACGTATTTCTACTTCGTATTTCTAGAGGAAGAGGAACAAAAAGCAATATAGGTTTATTTCGTTTATGAGCAATCAGTATTACCATCAGCTATCGAGCTGTGAAGAAGAGAGAGAGAGGGAGGAATTTGAAGAACCTTGGTTAAAAGAAAAAAATTAAATTCATAATTAATGTGATGTTCATCATAAACAAGCATGAACACAGCATATGCACGCGCATTGATATATCATGTACATGAATTTATACACACACACACACACACACACAAACACGCACACATATACACACACACACACACACACACACACACAAACACGCACACATACACACACACACACACACACATATATACATATATATATATTGTTACAACTAATTCCTAGCTCATCTAAATCTCTCTTAATGGAGAGTTGCCTTTACTCAAAGAGCAAACTTAATAGTAAACTTCTCAGGCTAAGTTCAAATATTTAACATTCTCTTATCAGAGTTATTAATTCTCCTATCTTTCATCACAAAACTTCCCAAAGGTTAATCATTGTCTTTTAAGTGTCTGAAGATTTCTAATTTGTTCTCAACCTTCACTTACATATCATTAACTCATGCTATAACACTTATTAATGTATTTATTAATGTATAAAGTCAAAATACAAATAGTTTATTTCTCTTGTTTTAATGAGACTTTGATTCAACAAAATATTAATCAATATCCATCAAAGGAATTTATCACAATTAAATTCAGACTATTAGTCACTTTTCATATCTTAAATTCTGTCTCAATACACTTAATATCTTTTTAGAATAAGGAAGGCTGAACCATTCAATAAACTAAATAAAGTCAATTTGAATTGAACATTCCAATACTTATATATATATCGCATTCGCTATTCAGTAATATATTTTCATCACCGTTGAATAATGCAAAGGATGCAGAAAAAGTGTGGAAACACACACACATACATACTCACACATACACACACATAGACACACACACACACACACATGTGTATGTGTAAACGAATATATA